TGTAGATGGCCCAGTCACACAATTCAATTTGCTGAAAGAGGACACTGAAATAATGGAAGATGATGTACCTAATGTATTACCACCAAGGGTATGTTGTAGATGGCCCAGTCACACAATTCAATTTGCTGAAAGAGGACACTCAAATAATAGAAGATGATGTACCTAATGTATTACCACCAAAGGGTATGTCAAGTAAAAGGAAATGGTACCTTTACGAAAAAATAAGATCGTTTGCAGATACAAATGTAAAGATGTAACCTGCCCACTTCTTGATGCACCTCGACCAGCAGGAACATCTCGACAATAAACACCAGGTGTAAATGATCCACCAGACCTCGCAATGGAGATCGAAGCACCGCAATCTCCAAGGCAATCTTTAGAACCACCTACAACACAAAGAAAATGTGGTAATTGTGGTCAATTCGGTCATAATAGAAGAACTTGTCCATGTCATCAGTATAAATGAATAACAGAAATGAGTTTGTGTAATGCACATACTATTGATTCCTTTTCAACGGGAGAGGAACTAGTTTGTCTACAACAAACAGACTATTCATCCCCTGAAACAGGAGTGGAACTAGTTTGAACGCCAAACATTCAACCCCTGAAATAGGAGTGGATCTCGTAGAATGCCAAATATTTAAACTATTGATCCCCTAAAGGAGAGGAACTAGTTTGTAACGCAAAGACATACAAACTATGGATCCCCTTTCTTGAAAACAAAGGTGTGAAACGAGTATGTGTGAGACATCAACATAAACACAAAACATTCATTTTTGTTGAAAACTTACTAACTGAACAGAGAAGGCCGAGAGAAAGTTAGTCACGAAGTTATCAAGGAGGTGATTTGTGTCTATCTATACAGGTGAGAGGACTAATAATAAAAATGTGTGGGAGGAGAATACCGAAATAGAAGTCATTACGTCATTCACAGCGAATCAAAGAACACCAAGTGTCAACTGTGACCTTTAGGATATAAAATGAGACACCTGAAACTGTAAGTTCAAAATTAAAAAAGTAATGGCTGCCCCAATAAAGGATGTCCTCATTGAGGGCCATCCTTCTAATGGTAAGTTGGAAATGTGTAATTCATAGTGATAACTATAATGCCTTTTCTTTTTGGTGGATGAACTTGCTAAGTTGTTTGCACATGTGTGCTAGTGTTGTACTTTAAAGCAAAAAATAACTGTATTTATAGCTGAAAAAGAAGTAAGGGTGAAAGTGAAGAAAGGAGACAGAAGAGAGGACAGAGGAGAAAGGCACAGAGACAAAAAGGAGAGTGGAGACAGTCGAAAGGGGAATAGTAAGATTGAAAGGTGAAAAATACAACTCTACATGACATTGTTTTTTATTGAATCATACGGCTTAAGTTTATTTACATGTGTGATTGTGTGACATTTTTTGTTGTGAAGCCACTGTAAGAAGGACTATTAAACTAAAAAGTAATTTTGCATTCTATTTTAGTTAGTTCTTTTTCCAACATTGAGGCAAGAAGAGACGGGAGAAGAAACAGAGACAGGGGAGGAGATAGAGAAAGTGGAGGAGACGGACAGGGGAAGACACTGGGATAGGGGAAGAGACTGGGACAGAGAGAGACAAGGAAAAAGAAATTTAAAGTATCAATGGATCATTATTGAAATGAGTAGTCACTATAATTTTTCCATTGCTTAGAAGAAGCGAAGGCAACACAGAGGAGGAGGGTGGGATAAACGCTGAAAGCGGGGAAGAGGAGGACAAGGAGGGAGAGGATGAGGCCAAGGAGGAAGGGGACGAGGCTCTCGACCAACTGTTACTGCAAGAAACATTATGAAACATAAGCATAACAATAATCTATAGGATTCATAAGCAAGTGCCAGAACTATTAACTATTTCAATGTTATATGTAAATCACTTAATTATAGTTCCAAATAAAAATCTAAATAAAACTATTACCTGTAAACTCAAGCAGAAGTGATGTCTGGATATAAATGAAGTGTATGACTCAGATGACGTTACTACAATTCACAAAAAGAACTGTATTGACACTAGAACACAGTAATAACTCTATGGGACTTTGTAAAAGCGGGGTGGGGATCCAGATGGGGATCGGGATTTTATCCATAAAAGAGGGGTGGGGACATGAATTATTCCGCATAACCCAGTGTTTTTCTTTATACATGTGCAAGTTTGTGAGATGAAGACGACTTTATGCGGCCAGTGAGGAGACGTCTCCGACTTGTTACTCAAAAGACAGGAATAGAAGAAGAGTCAGTGACTAGGAAAAAAAATGTGACCATAATTGACAAAAGGTACCTTATGGCGGGTAGTGAAATTTGTCTTTCTAGCCTAAGAAATCCAACTTCCTGAGCCCCATTTATCATAAAATTACTCTACAGGATGCAAAAAGTTACCATGAAACTTTTAGAAACAATGATTGTCTAACAAAGCACTCACAGGTTGATATTTGCCATTATTAAGATCAATTTTAAAATCCGCCATAAGGGCCCTTTTGTCAATTATGGTCACAAATGATGGTATTCCTCCAATGCCTGAAGATGGAGCAATACCGATTAGAACTGATGCTCACAAACAACTAGTTGTCAATGAGGTGCTTCAGTTCTTTGATAATGCTTCTACTAAGTATAGACATATGATTAGTTCGGCACCTCCTGTTGAGCCACATGGAGGTACTGTATTTTTGTATGACTAAGGAGATGACTTGAAATGGAATATACGTAAAAGGCAACTGAGGTAGTGTATGTGCATTGTGTATATAGACCCATTAGTTAGTAAGCCTGTTGTGAATCAATTAGTAACTGCAGCCACCCACGATTAAAATTACTGACGCAAGAAGCTCTCCACATCAAAGGCAGATCAAAGCCCAAGGTGCCAAAATGAAGTGTAGCAAGAATACTAAGAGTTACCTGGTCTGTATGATGTAGTCTGGCCTCCATACTTTCCATAAAATGGTGCTTGTAAGCCTGTAGTACCTTGTAGCGCTCACAAAAATGGCCAATCAGTGTCACTGCCTTTGATTTTTTTGATCTAGGGGCTCTATAAGCGCATATCTATCAGTGTTGTTTTAGTTAATGAATTAAATTTTAATTTTAGTTATTGTACTTTGAAGTAAAGTATATTTAGTTCCAGTTCTAGTTTTAGTAAAGCCTTGGCATGTTTATATTAGCTATGATTATGTGATACCATTTTCTTTTAATTATAGATATACTTTTAGTCATGAGAAACCATGCAAAAGGAGGCCTTTACTCATAGCAATATTAAATATTATGATATACATGCACATGAATCCCCTTATCAAAAGTACCCTCTCAAGTCTCAACAGGGTATCAATACTGTTTAGCGGGAAATTTTTGCGCCCCAAAATTTTTACTGATCAGTCTCTTTAATTTTTGTTTTCTACTTTTTGGCCATCTTGAACCGTATAAACTTGATTTATGTTGCTAAATTTTTGAAATTAACTGTTATATTCAAGTAATGTGAAATTTAAATTATGTTGTAATTCTATAAATGCCCACAGATGTGATCAATACTGATGCGTGCATAAAGGAACTTACCCAGTTGGTAATGATGGCATCACGAAAAAGAATGGTGTCATAGATGTTAAAGAAAGGTGAAAGTGATAATAGAGTTAAATGGCATGAATATTGGGGTGTTGGACAGCTTTTTCTTATTCATTACTTTGGTGATCACTCAATATTCAAGAGTTTTAAGCACCGAAATAGTAAAACTAACGCAAAGCTATTTGTGACATCAGCTCCTCATGTAAAGGATAAAGTTAGCAAAATTAATTATGCAACCATTTCCATTGCAATTTTTGTCAATGCAGATACTAGATAAGAATGCCTTAAAGCCTCCACAGAATGTGTATCATGACCTCATCAATGAGGATGAAGGTTATTGTCATAAAATTACAATTTACATGTGAGACTGTTGCACTTGTGCTGTCTGGTGTCTCAACTAACACAAATCCATCATTACTAGTGGCCTAGGCAAAGAATTAAATACTTCAGACACATTTGTAGGAAAATTAATGGTCTGGCCAGCCAAGGCTCTTTGACCCAAAAGCAACACTATTAGCTTCATAAAGGCTTGCACTCTTGAAATTAGTCTCTGTTCCATTGTGTTCAAACGGGATAATTCTAATGGGATTTCGTCTACCATAAATCTTCTAAAAATTCAACACTAACTTTGTCAAATTAAATATTTTTTTCCAAAATTTCACGAAATTACCTCTAATTATTTGATTATGCAAAATTACTGGCTGAGTATTCTAATTTCGACATAATCCTCTTATTTCGGCACATGATTGACCATGTGCTTCAGTTCAGTACGTCAGTCTACTCTACCTTACTAAGCAGCTGTGAGGATGGCAGAATGGCCAGGTAAAAAAAACGTTCCTAGTCAGATTTGTATTAAAATGATCTATTCTATAGAGTTTTTAACTCGATACAATCCTATTCAAGTTGAAAAAAGGCCTGTTGGGCAGCCTAGAAAGCAACGCACCAGTTCTGACCTGTTGCAGGACACGGCATGAGCTGGTACCACACCACAAAGCAAATCAACTACCACTACTCCAATTCCTAAAGTACAGGGTGCTTCTGACCAACAACAAGAGGATAGCAGTAGCACATGTTCAGGGCATGAAGACGATGATTCAGAAGCAACCAGTGTCAGTACACCAGCCACTCCAGCACAAAAGGAAAAACCCAGCGCGGCCAGTATAAATTATACAGCCTGGATCTTAAACTGAGAGTCATCAGAGAGTTTTATAGAAGAGATGTAAGTATGATTCAGATATCAAGGAAATATAACTTACCTCGGTCCACTATTTACTCATGGAAGAATGAGCTGAGGCAAAAGAACAAGAAAGTTTCTCTCCTCAAGAGAGGTGACACCTCCAATCTGGCAGTGGTCGTAAACTGTCATATCCAAAAGAGGTCGAAGAAGAGTTAGTAGAAGGGATCCTGGTTAGACGAGACTGCCACCTACCAGTTGGAAGACAGATGATCAAAGGCAGAGCAGCTAGTTTAATCAAAGGTCATAATCCAAGTTTTAAGGCGTCAAATGGATGGTTAGACAAGTTCATGCTACGGTATGGTTTGTCAATGCGAATAAAGATTTCAGTTAGTCAGAAGCTGCCAGCCCAGCTTGAGAAGCGAATAGAATCATTTTTCATAAGGGTAAGAGCACTAAGAGCTAAGCATCAGTATCCATTGGACCTCATAATAAATATGGATGAAACTCCTTTGATTTTTGACATTGTTCCACAACAAACAATCAGCAAAAAAGGTGTCAAGCAAGTGCCAACTCGGTCATCAGGAGCAGAAAAAAGAAGATTAACTGTTACTTTGTCATGTACTGGTGATGGTGATATGCTTCCCACTTTTGCAATATTTAAAGGCAAGAGAAAGCTCAAGTTTATTTCTCTTAAAGAAGTGAAAGTTGCTCTTCAGAAAAAGGCTGGTTGGATTCAAAATTAATGCTGCAATGGTTTAAATCAATCATTTTACCATACAAAAAGGGTTCACAATCACTGTTAATCATTGATTCGTTTTCAGCTTACGAAGATTCTGCTTTCTTGGATTTGGCTCATGCCAATAATGTAGACGTGATAATAATTCCTGGAGGATGCACAAGCAAAATTCAGACTTTAGATGTCTCCTTAAATAAACCATTTAAAGCAGTAGTTAGGGAAAAGTGGAACGAATACGTTCACTCTGTTGTTGATGCCAGTGCCAATCCAACACCACAGCACAAACTAAAAACAGCTGACAAATCCAAAATCGTTTGCTGGCTCAAAGATAGGTTGGTTTATCTCCAAGAAGACAAGACTGTTGTTAAGAAGTCCTTGTTTTGTGGAATTACTAATGATCTACTTGGAAGTAAAAACCACTTCATAAGATGTGCTAAAGAGCTAGCTGAACTCCAATTACCATATTTCCAAGAAGATGATGACAACCCATTTTTAGACAACACTAGTGATGAAGAAGAGAGTAATGAAGAGGTAGAAGAAAGTGAGGATGAAGATGATGATGGAGACGATGAAGTCATGCAACAGTGACATCATTGAAGTCTGCATGTGGATGGCAATTAAGATATATTTACATGTATGTACAACTAATGTAATTATTATCAAACAGAAAAATCTACAGTATATTTAACTCTAGGTAAATAAGCTCTTCTTTCTTTTCTTCAAGCAGCTTAGTAAGTTTTTTTGATAAGTGTTGATGGTCCAAATAGTTTATACTTGCATGGGATCTCCAAACCTTTACCTTTAATGGCTGATCTTTGTCTTCCCCCTGTTACTTGGCCAAGTATAGTCCCTTTGCTTTTCAAGAAATAGTAAAAGTTTTTTGAAATTTCTCTTGGCACATGTCCCGTGGTTTCTTTATTAACAAAGACAGCAACAACATATCGATCATAGTGATTAAATTCATCTACTTGTAGCTTAAACTCATCTCCTCTTGCATCCCAGTAATCCTTGTAAACATGATAGCCTCTAATAATACTCTCTACTGACAAAGTTGCAGATGGAGAGGCCATTTTGCTACTGCAGGATTATGTGGGTTTGGCTAATTGGACTTTGGAATGACCCTCCCTCCAATTTTGTCAATAAAAATTATTTAAAAGTAAAAAAACATTTTTAACCTCTAATTTTTCAATATTTCTGATTTTAAGGTAAATTTAATTTGCCGAATTTTTAGAAGATTTATGGTACATGCATATTATTTATTGTAGCAAATGGAGGGATTGTCCCTGTCTTTATAAAAGCCATACATCTACTACAAACATGAACACTACCATTTACTTCTTCCCTAGGCAATAAGGCTGATAATTGTGTATCATTGATACACGCATGATAATACTGTTGTAATACATCATGTACTTTACTCACATCAACCATTGATACACCTTTTGGGTAGCACAGACGCTCATATGTACAGCACGTGCTGGTTGGAGATGAGATAGTCCCATTTCTTTTTAAAATTTTTCGATGTCTTTTCTAGATAGCTGTTGCTGACAAACATTTTCTGGTGCAGGAGCTGGAGGTGATTGATTAACCAAAAACTCTTTACGATGCTCCCACATTTATTAATTTCATTGAGCTTTTTGCTCTTCAGATTCTGAGGCTCTTCTTTCATGATTTATTTTAGGAAGATTTGAGAGATGTTCTTCTCTTTGAGCTTCTGACTCCTTGGCACATCTTTCACTAAACGTCTTTGTCTTTGAGCATCTGATTCATTCATAAATCTTTCTAGATTTCTCTGCCTTTGATCACTTAGACTAACTTCTCTGTGATCTACTGATTCATCATTGGTACCTCTTTGCTGATTTCTCTCTTTGATCACTTAGACGTGCTTCTCTGTGATTTGCTAATTCATTATGAGCTTACATGCATTTCATGCATGTAAGCTCAGTTACAGACACATTGTAGTTGTCAATTATATGGTGATAAAAAAGTAAAAATATTACATTCTTTTGTACCGTTAGGTACTGCAGCTTACTGAAATTCCTTTGCAATTCCTAGTCTGTTGATCCTGACTGTACCACAGGCTTCAAATCCTTTGCTCTTCAGTTCAGAGAAAAGGTCAGGTGATGATTAGAAGTTGTCAGTATAGACATAGTACCCTTTTCCCTTAAGACCTCATAGAAAGTTGACCACTGCATTGTAGGCCAAACCTTTCTCTGGGTCACTGTTCCTGTCCTTTCCTAGAAAAGATAATATATGATGAGAGTTATAGATAAATTACTAGCAAACATGTGTAGACATTTAGGTTCCATGTGTACCCATTAGATAGTCTCGCAAGCCAGACCATCCCCAGCCTACAGTCATTGGGGTGGACGGTGGGGAAGGGTCTGGTACATTGCCTTGATCCAGCTTGTTCTCCTGCAAGGAATCTTGCGGCCCAATGAGAGATTGCCACGTCATAATTGAGTAGGCATTTATATGAGTCGTCATTTCCTGTACTTGTTTATTAATAATAATAATAATTAATGGTTAACAGTTTCAAGATGGCCGACACTAGTGGCATTGTTAATGAATCATGTGGGTTGTGGTACTGAAGCAGTGAAAGGTAATAGGAGAATACTGGGTTGCAGTTCTACTAGCCTTGTTGCTTCATCTGTCAAATATATCTTAATTCAAAGATTGGAAAGTACTTCTTCAGAAATGGGTAGGCTGAGTGTTGCCTCACTGAAAAGTTCAGTCCTAATGCTAACCTTTTCATTACTTTAGATACCACTGGTATTAGCATTCACATTGATGATTTGGTATCAAAGGGGTACCTGTGCAGAAACTGCTACATGTCATATGATTTTTTTGAATTATTATGAATTATCAGTTACCGCCCCAACTTAATATTAAGAATGAATACTTAATTTTATAGATCAAAAAAGGTCAAAAGATTTCTGAATCTAGTTTGAAGTTGTGTACAATGCTTGTTAATTACTGTGCTCTAAGTGTGAGTGATGATGACAGTAACACTAATGATACTGCCACTGTGACACCTACATCAAGAAAACGGTATAATCCTATTGGAGCTGGATTACTGCGGTCTAAGAGAAAGAAAATGTGTTGAGTCTCCTCCAGTCAAGGTAAAATAACTATTATTTTTTATTGGTAATTTACGATGTGACAGTTAGACATTAGTTATCCAGGTGTAAGTAAAGGATATTGTCTTACTCCATCAAGGAAAAATTATGGAAAAGTTTTAGCCAGATCCACCAATGTACCTAAAAGATTAGCTGTCAATATGCTGAAAGATTCCAGGGTTTTGCCATATGTTGCATCTGGAGTGGGAAAAATGATCAAATGCGAGATTAAGAAGATGTGTTCCACCAAGACAGATTCTATTCTTAATTCTAAAGATAAGAAGCATATTAGTGATTTTCCATTGGAATCTGTTAAAAAGGAGATTATTCAAGTCTGTCCAGCACTTTATACCATACTACAAGCTGCCACCACATCTCCTGTTGAGAGGTCACATCAGGATGAATTTATTACTGTGTTGGTTGCTATGCTGTGCAAATTTAGGTGTTCTCGCATGTCACTTTTGCAGCAAATGGTTTCTGTATTACTATTTTCTTCACATACTGGTACAATAGTAACATAATTAATTAAAAGTAATTTTGCTTATGAATTGTCCTAAATTTATAATAGACTGCAAAAGTTAATGTTTTGTAACAGCAAAAGTGCAACGACGTCACTTGTAAGATCTTTGGGCATTGACTTCAATAGCAAAGTATTGAAATGGAAGGAAGCTTTACTTCCTAACTCAGATCAACTACTGAGGTAAATGTAGTTATTGTTGTCAAGTAATATTTCTTTACAGATTTCAAACATATCAGTAAATAGTGACATAACAAATGATTCTGTTGTAATAATTGATGATGAATTGGATGACAAAGAGACAGATCAAGTAAGTTGACTTTTTCTTACTGATAAAGCATTTTATATATGCATGCAGGTAAGGTGTGCTTCTTTATTAGAAGGAATGGATGTTACTTCAAATGAATGCATGCTTTCTACCACTGACAAAAATATTGATTCTGATGAAGGTATTTTTACACACATTTCTTCATACAAATCACCTTTTTCTAAAAGAACAGGTATTAAAAGTGACAACTGAAAACTATTACTTTATTTGTAGATTATATTGAGTCACCAGAAGACATTGATGTGCCAGAGGCTGCTGTAAATACCTGGGATGGATTTGTGTTGGTTGGGGATAATATAGAAAAAAATGTTAAGCCATGTCATGAAAGGATTGACTCTAAAACACAGTCCTATCATTTTTTCCACTCATATGCAATTAAAGACCATATCAATGTCATGAAAGGATTGACTCTAAAACACAGTCATATCATTTTTTCCACTCATATGCAATTAAAGACCCATATCAATCTCAGTAATGTGTGAGACAGGCAATCTCCCTACCTCTCAGTTCCTGTCAATAAACTTCCACTCTCTACTCTTTTGCCTAGTGTGTCAAATCATCAGTCTTTAATTCATAATTTCAGTAACATTATTAGCCGCACATTAGTTTCAGAAATGAAATATTTCAAAGAATCTTTTGATGATATTTAACAGATCCACATAAAGCATGAGCATTATTTGGATATGATATTGAAATCTGAAGTAGTGAGTTTAATAAGTATGTATTATTACTTGGGTTTATTTTTAAACAGGTACCACTTGGTGTCATTACCAAAAATGAAAATTTCATAGAAGAAATAATTGAGATTATGTTGGAGATGAGTAATTTATATACACCAGTAATACACCAAACAAAGGTCAATGAAATGACGAAACAGATGATTGATGATGATGCTTATCATGCATTTCTATTTGGTGGAGATCAGCTCACTCATAAACGAATGGAAACAGCAAAGGAAATGACAAGTAACAGTGACACCATAATGAAGAGGCTGCATGGGGTAATACCAGTGTGTACAGATTGGCATGCAAAAAGAGTATTATTAGATGTTAGTATACATACATGTAGATACAAACATGTTTCAATTTAGTGCTCAATGCCTTTATTATTTTATCATCATTTATTTTATTAAACTATAGATAATATGGAAAAGGTTCTACAATTGTAAAAGTCTGAGTGACAAAGGGACTCTATATCAACTGAGATGTGCTGTGGATAGAAGAAATGTTTCTGCTTCTTCAGAGGATGACTATAACGCCTATGATGCTTTTTTTAGGACTACACATAATGCTTTGTACTAGCTGCTGCAATGAAGCATCTTTGAATGAGTAATGTCAATGATGCACCCCATCACAAAGATTTGAAAGTAGATATTTGGGGTAAGACAAAAAAGGAAAGAGAAAGTGTTTTATTAAAGGTTTGTAGGGAAATTGTATTAAAATATGGAGCAAAGTTTATAGCAGAAACCCATGAAGACAGTGATATTGAAGAGGTTATTAATGACAAAAGTATTCGCATGTTCTACTGAACTACTTTCATATGGTTTACTATACAATGAGTACTCTGATGCAGTCAGAGAAGGGGATGGTCCATGTGTATTGAGGATATGGAGGTATTTAATGCT